TTTGAAGAGGGTGCCACGATGGGGGTCTTGAAGGTTGAGATACCCAGGACAGCCTAACAAACTCGAAGTGTATTGAAATCGAATAGGAATGGAATAATGAGTAGTCTATCTACTGGAAAATATATACTATGAACTGCAATTATCGCTTTCCCCCGGTTTCGTATCGTTAGCCGAGAACGAGCGACTGCGTCACTGCGGCCCATTTGTTGAAATCTTAGACTTGAACCACCACCACCGCTGCGGTGGCATCAATTCACGGCACGTATACAGGAATCTTTGACGAGGCACAACACTAATTATACCGACAATAGATGTCTCTACAGATCAACCTTTCAAATACCGATATTAAAGATGCATATCTGAAAGTTCTCAATGATCAAGGAATAGATTGGGCGATATTTACTTATGAAAAGGGTACAAATGACCTCAAGGTTCAAGCAACCGGAGATGGTGGATTGGAGGAGCTAGAAGAAGAGTTTTCAGACGGCAGGTGAGTCGACCGTTCCTCGAAAGTTGTGACGTTTCCTGACAACAATTAGAATCCAATATGCTTTTGCACGCGTGATAGACCCCAATGTATACTCTCGATAACCAAGCTACCTTTCGTTGTGTACGCTGACCCAATCTTGCAGAGTCAATTGCCCAAGTTCGTCCAGATCAACTGGTGTGGAGATGGTGTTCCCGAGGCAAAGAAGGGGCTCTTTCACACCCATTCGAGCGCTGTCGCCAATTTCCTTCGCGGAACACACGTTGTCATAAGTGCACGGAATGAGGTGAGTCTCAAGCTTGGGGTTCCATCATTATCGGCTTACAGATAGCTTATACTAGTCTGACGTTGCACCATCTCTCATCATGAAACGTGTCGAAGCGGCCTCCGGTGCGAAATACTCTTTCCAAAAGGAAGCACCTCGCAGAGCAGAACCTATTGCCCCCGTCGGAACGAACTACACACCCGTTGGCAAGGTTGATATAGCTGCGTTACGCAAACAACCTTCTGCGACAACTACTGGCACCAGCGCTGCAAAACCCCCATTACCGGCAGCATCTCGTCCAGCTTTTGGTGCCGCTAAACCAGCTGCTTCGGCCGGTTCTCTTTATGGTCGAACGACCAATACTGGCTCTGCCCCGAGCGATGCATGGCCTGAGGAAGCACCTAAACCTGCGGCTGTACCTCCCCCACCACCTGCAGCATCCCGACCACCAGTAGTACCTTCCGCTCCAAGGCCAGCGGTCGTGAGTTAATTGTATCTCTTCTTGTGCTCATATCTAATGTCGCATACTCTAGGCCAAAGAACCCACACCAGTGGCTGCTTCCAGCACACCTACGAAACCTTCAGAAGAAGATCGCATTCGCCCAGTTGGAACTGCTTATACGCCCGTCTCGTTGCCTGCTCCGAAGAAACTCAAGAATCCATTCGCGGCATTCGAACAGCAGCAAGAGCAGGCACCACCGAAGCCTGTGACCTCTGGAGGTCCCAAGAAGCTGACCTGGAGTGAACGTCAGGCATTGGCGAAGAAGCAGCAGGAGGAAGAGGAAGAGAGGAGTCGTGAAGCTAGTGCAGGCTCAGCGGCACTGAACAAGTCTACAGCTCCTCCGCCTGCCTTTAAATCCTCTGCTCCTGCATTTGGACGTGCAACGGGACCAGCTACTACGCCAGCAGCACCAACGCCGCCGCCGCCACCACCTGCCGCCTCCAGACCAATCAGTAGTGCTGCAAAGGTAGCTGCTGTCGGTGTAGGAGCAGCGGCTATTGGAGGAGCTGCTGCTATCGCTGCTGGTGAAAATGACGATGAGCCAGAGGAAGAAGATTGGCCAGAGGAAGAACCAGTAGTAAGTCTGCAAAAATCGTTTCCTCCGCAGATTTTTTGATGCATTTTTACAGGCCGCAGCTCCGCCTCCGCCTCCCCCCGCCTCCCCCCACCACCTGCTCCACGGCAGCCTGAACCTGAGCCTGAGCCTGAACCCCAATTCGAAGCACCGCCTCCACCACCGCCGCCTCCACCACCACCACCTCCACCACCTCCGGTCGCTCAGGTTTGCGGGATCTTGCAGAGAACCAAGAAAACTCGTAACTGATACTCTTAATTTTGTAGATGTCACAACTTTCGGTCCAGGAGCCAGAACCAGAGCCAGAGCCAGAAGCAGCACCCGCCGCTACAGCTCGTGCTGGCCAAGGCATCTGTGCGGTCGTGCTCTATGAATACGAGGTATGCTCTGGTCTTACGTCTTCTACTTGGTCCCTTAGACAAGCTGGTAATAGGCTACCGAAGACAATGAAATGAACCTCGTGGAAGGGGAAATGATTGAGCAAATTGAAGAGCTGGATGAAGGATGGTGGGCTGGTGTTGGCCCTGGTGGAAAGTCGGGCATGTTCCCAGGTAAGATAACTTTTTGATGCTGCACAAAAGACGCGGCGGTGACATCTGAATAGCCAACTATGTGGAAATCGTCGAGCAAGCTGCCGCAGAAGTCGAGGAAGCAGCGGCCCCGCCACCACCACCGCCACCACCACCACCACCTCCTCCTCCTCCAGTACGTCCTTGATCTTTTCTGCCACCCCTTCAACTCATATTCGTTGATTAGCCTCCGCCTGCTGCTCCAGCAGCACCCCCAGCACCTCCGCCACCGCCTCGTGCCCCCTCGCCAGAACCAGAGCCTGCAGCTGCAGAAGGATCCATAACGGCGGTTGCATTATATGAGTAGGTTGCTTCACACTAGGTTTCTACTTTTCTGACGCTTGCAATCAGTTATGACGCTACCGAGGACAATGAAATTTCGTTCAAGGAAGGAGAGTACATATATGAGATTGAGCCTGCGTCGGAAGACTGGTGGCAAGGAAAGGATAAGAATGGACATGTTGGATTATTCCCAGGTGGGTTACTCGAATGTTATGGCTACATTAGCTCTCGCTCATCATTTCTCTAGCAAACTATGTTGAAGTGCAGGAATGAGAATGTGACTATTGAGTGCCCCAAACTAAGAACCACACTGGACGCCAGTAAATTATGTAGAAAGAATGAAGTGTCTGTCATTTAACCCTGAAGGTATTTCTGTGACTAGCTGTCTCATCAAAGTAATGAATGATCACATTGGTCTGACTGTGATTCTACGTTTACATCCGCAAACTAGAGAGGACATGCCTTGCCTCCGAACGAGATGTCGTCGAAGTAAGGTCCTGTGGTACGACTGGTTTAGCCTACGACCTTCAAAAAACATGAATTCGCTTACCCAGATGGTTCGGTATGCTTGCAGAAAGTATGGAATTACCCTCGGAACAAGCACCGTTTTCCTGCCCTTGACAGGCAACTACATCCGTAGCTTGACCTGCATCATCAACCGCCTTAATGTGAACCTCGTTTGATGGGTGCTGGTAGCCCAAAAATCGAGGAGGAACTATGGGAACCGGGTCGTCTTGATTTGTGATGAATGAGAACGAGGAACCGAGCTAAGCAAGCAGCTGAGGAACGGAAGCGTGGAAAGATAAAATAGGAACACGCACAGTGGCATCCACGAAATCAGCCCATTCTTGGTTGCCTACTCTCGGGAGACCGAATACAGTAGTGGTGACTTGAACGGAAGGATCCAGCTTCTCCTTTAACATCATAGCATCCAGAGTGGCAATTGAAGCACCTTTGAGCGTCATGTCAATCACCAAGTCGATGGGCATTACTTAGGCAGCTACTCACCAAGTGAATGGCCAGTGACGAGGACCTTGCTGGAGCCGAAACTGGCGAGCCCTTTCTGTACGCCCTCTAGGACACCATCTGCGGTACGCTCAAAAGTCTTCTGGAAACCATCATGAACCTGGATATCCTCTGAGGACGCGTCAATCAGTCTCTAGGATACACGCTATTGGCAGTCCTGTCACGTACTTCCTTCAGCGGCTGTGAACCGGGTAGTGTTGAGATCAACGAGAAGAAACTGTGCGTCGTTGAGAACAGATAAACTATAATTAATGAGATTGATTGAGTGATGCATCGTCAGATTGTCGAATGCCAGCATGTACTGTGCTTACAAGTTTTTCGGCTCTGTCCCTTGGTGAGCTACCACGATGGTATTGGAAGTTGGATCGTGAGCAACAAAGTCTGGATGGCAAGATGGCAATTATTCAGTGAATCGAATGAGCAACACTATGATCTGCGGACTCACACATCGGTACGAGTCCATCATCTGCAAAGCGATGATTATCAGAGTTAAATTTAGGCTCACCACAGCCATAGCACAGACGCACCTCCACCAGCCTGAATAACGTTGACACCTTTCCCAATGCTATCGCAAGGTGGTCCACATTGCCAGCTTGTGACTGCGGCACTCGAGCAGTACGCGACACGGCTGAATTGAGCAGGTCGAATAAAGTTATCGGAAATGGTTTGTGCGGAGACGGCCGTCGTAACATCGTCTTCATCGTCGTCCCCGAATAAGCCGAATAATGGTGCCCCAAGCGCCCACTGGAAGGAAACGGAAGCCAAAAGGAGTGCTGGTAAGCGTAAATAGACCATGCTGACGCTCTGCGACACAGTTAATTAAACCAGAAAAAAAAACAGTGCCCAGCCAGTGGGAGAGAAGGAAAACGAGAGGAAGTGTTGTCCCGCGGGAAAATGGGATGAGGGTCGCGCACAAGTTGCTGGACCTGTTATATAGTTTTGAGGACTTTGTTTAGTGACAGGTACGCATTGTGATGGGACTGAACAAAATGATTGTCACCAAGCACCTCCTTGGAGCTCAAGGACTTAGCGATGTCGATACCGATTTTTAGGGTTACAACAAGATATCAAATCAACAGAGATATTGGACGAAGGTGACACTGTTGGCCCTTGGGTGTTGACTGGTGTCGATCATTTCGAAGAGATGTGTGCTGACATTGAACTTTATTGATGATGGATATTGATCGAGAGCACAGAATAAGACGCTGAAGCGCACCAGAACGTTCCCGTGGTCCAAAACTTGAAATTCCACCTCTCCCCGGCGTTCTTCGCCCAGAATACCACCCAAAAACACATGACGAGAGTGGGATTCGAACCCACGCCCTGTTCGGACCAGATTTAGAGCGCATACAATGCGCTGGTCTCCTTAGTCTGGCGCCTTAGACCGCTCGGCCATCTCGCCTTGGAATTGTAGGCAAAGAGCTGTATCCGGGGCAGGAAGTGACGATAGGAAGGTGCTACAACATTGGTAGTCTCTCAGACTCTCAGTAAGATTGCGAAGAGAAGAGTAGGTTTGTGCCGTTTTCGTGCAGGGATGAGGGTGTGTAATCTTGGCAGAACGTAAAGATCGGTGGAAAGGTATTATCGTCATGATAGGCCTAAGCTGCGTGTCTTCAGGATGTCTTCAGGGTTTCCTGAGCGTGTCATGTAGTCCCAAGCGTGGATTTTGGATGCTCTGCCAGGGGTATATGCTGGAAACCCAACGTCGATAGCCACTCTTCAACCTCTAGTCCCAAGTCGCGGCTAATACCAATAGAAGCACCGGAGCTGCAGGACCTCTGATGCTCGCCTTCACTTCATCTGATCGCTGGCGAAATGGATGATGAGAACAGACCGCTAGAATTGTATTAACATACCAACTTTGCGTGTCGATCTCTGCTTCCGATATGGATGGCTGCATTCCGTCTCGCGAAATACTATAGCCTATACAGTCGTCGCTATCAGCATCAACTCGAAGAATGTTGCCATCGTCAATGAGCTCGAAAGAGAGGCCTAGAGTGATGAACAGATTCAGAAGAACAATTGTGGGAACTTTTTGCAGTTCCCCACAATCGTGACGGAGGGGCAACACCAAAAACGGACGTTGCTCCATTAGCCACAGTCTTCTCCCTTGAATCTCGATTTCTCAAGCGACGAATTCAAAAAGAGATGTTTGTTCATTTCTTTGTTCTTGTGGGTGTCGCCACCCACTTTCACTCTGATTCCCGATAATCAGCATGAGAAGCCAGGGCATGTTTGTTACCGATATAGCGTAGATAGAGGCTTATCTATGACGCGTCCCAATTGCAATGTTCGAATTGAGATTGAGATTGAGTTCTCGTTTGTTATTAAGTAGTGTCAAGACGTTCGCGTATAGACGTAAAACACTTGTTCTAAAAGTACCCTTGGATGCGGAAGAAGCTCGGGATGTGATCCTTCAAAGTGCTTGAATCGAGCTTCTACTCCAAGTCTAGCCAAGTCTCCAACCTCGTGAACCTCGTTCTGGTGGTTATCTCGTCATGAGGCAAGGACGAGGAGTTGGTAGATCAGAGTCCGAACGGAGCGCACTGATTCATATCACATACAGCTGAACACGCCTCTTCAACACGGAAACAACATTAATTATTCTCTAGTTTCCTTCATTCAAATGAAAGTACTTATAGAAACAATTCGTTGTAACGAACATACTGTATGAATACATTAGATTCAACAAGAGGCCGCATAGCAAGAACGGGTAACAGAGTAGTCGACCGAGACGAGGTCAGTGTACGGGAGATGGCGAGGCAGGGAGTCGTTATCCTAGCTGTAACTAAAAAGAGGTATGAAGACATTCGAGAGAAAGAGAAGAGTAAAACACATGATACACTTGATTCGCAAGACAGGCAAAAAAGAAAAAAGTTTTCTTAACCATTAAAACGCAGACAGGGATGGGGGGTAATGAGGGATAAACTGACAGAAAAGCCATAAAAACGAAATAAAATCACGATGTAACCACCCATATTGCACATCGCCGAGCTCCTACCGCCGACTATAATGCGTGTTTTGTCCAACCTGCTGTTGCGTGGGCTGTTGCCAATGCTGCGCTGCTGCGGCATTTGCAAGCCCACCGAGCTGTCCTTGTGGTTGTCCCGAATGTCCGTATGAGTAGCCGCCGACCATGTGCTGTGTGGCACCATACATGCTGCCATCTTGATGCGGTTGCGGTGGGTATGACTGCGAATATGATCCTGACGGAGGTGGTACCGAATTGTGAGCTTGCTGTGGGGAAGTAGGTGAGCCAAGATTTATCTGTGGCTGTTGAGGATGAGCAGATGTAGGTGAAGCTGTGGAGCCAGTGGGAATGGAAAGTGGTGGAGGAATTGATGCGTTAGCAGAGTGCGGCGAGGTCGGGGTCTGTGCTGAACCACGAGAGTTGGGTGCAGTAGGCGCAGTGGCATTGGATGATGCTCGTCGACGCTTATCACCAGTGGAAGCACGACCACCATGGACTGCTACTGCGTCGTCGTCGTCGGCACCGGCATCATCGTCCTCCTTTACACCACCGCCGGACTGACCAGAGATGGAGAGACCACCAGGTATATTAGAGGCTGGCGGTGGTCCTGAGGGAGGACCAACATTGGCCGCTCGGCCAAGAGGAGCACCGACTGGCATGGTAGATGGTAGAGTACCATGGGGTGCATTGAGACAAGCCTGGATAAGGTTCTTGCCTTCAGGTTGTGTGACGAGGGGTTGTAGTTTAGCAGTTGTAAATGTGTATACGAGACCCGTCTCCGAAACAACTAGGAGAAGGACCTGAGTTCCAGTAAGAGTAGAAAGTTCATAAGCCTAAGACATCCAAATCAGTACGAGTGTAACACATTGATAAAAGCGGAATAAAAATTGCCTTTTTCATAATGCCTGAAACGGAAAAAGTGAGAAGGGGGTAGTGGAAGCGGGGGCTACGAAGACATACCAGCCTTCCTTTTTGAGAAAGTTATATGACGTCTGGACTTGTCCTGAATGAACTCGATCTTAATCTTTCGCCTTCCTGCCTTCTTGTCAGACTTTGGCTTCTCGTCGTCCTCGTCGTCATCTGCGCCAGAGTCGACTGCATCATGGTCATTAATGAACGCGTCGTCTCCCAAAGGGGGAACTTGATGTGACTGTGGATCTGGCTGTCCTGGATTCAATGAATCCATACGCTGGCGTTTACGCATGGAAGGTGAAGTTGGCTGAGAATGGGGCTGCGTGGTGGGCAACTAGAAGATGAAAGTTGAAAGAAGAGATGGGAAAACACGAAATGGGATCGTGTTCTGTTGGGGGTAGTGGTACGCGACAGGGACTTTGTCAATTTGCAGAGGGGATAACCTGGCCGAAAAGGGAATGGGAGAGAAAACGGAAACAACCCTTTTCAACTCAAACGGTCCATGACCAAGCAAACAACACCAAACCCATCACCAAAATCTTATCCTCACTCTGCTTCCGCAAGCACTGCCTCGGCCGATATGGCAGGTGACTCTTCTTTTCCCCATATGGTTATCGTCCTCCTGCGTTTCTACGCAACAAATGCTTGACAAATGTCTTCCAGCCCGTACCACGGGTACTTACAGGGTGCATTCAGTTCCCCCCATTGTTTGCGCTGGAAATTTCCGTCTCATCCGCATCAACCCAGGTCCATCAATGATTGCATCCAATCCAAACTCTTGACTCGCATACAACTGCATACAGCTTCGCACATACCTATTCAGGCACCGCCTATTACCAGCACTAGCCAAAGTAGTATACCAGCTTTTTAGTTTACTTGACACTGGATTCTCTCTCCCTAAATGAGCGCCATGGTCATTTCGGGATCACCATTCTTTCTGCCATCCTTCACCATCGTCCGAGGCTTTCACGGCACCGAATTGCTCTTTCTCTCCTTGGTCTCGCTCTTGGGATCTTCCTCGTGCTGATTTCCTGAACAGAACAAACTGACACAAGCAACAGCCAGTCCATTGTCATGTCAAATTCCCTTGTGAACTGGCGCAACTTCTCCCTTAATGTCGATGGGTGGCGTCCCGCATCACGTACACCCTCCAGATCCTCAAGATAACCAGGCCGCAGCAGCACCTCACCAATCAAGTCATGCTATGCCCTCTGGTGGCGCACTTCCTCCTGGACATGCGATATCGCTCCAACCGGATCCTGCCTGATCCTGGTCGAGGGAGACTGCTATACTTAGGTCTCTCCGCGTACGTACAACATCAACGCTAGCAATGGTAACGTTCTGGACCATATCAGGCATTCATGGGACCATAACAGGACGTGTGAGCTGACCTGCCTCGCCTCACCCGCAGCCAAGGTGGGAACCCGGGATAGGAATGGAAGCTATGCCTCGAGGCTCAACTGCTATTGCCGCATCCACGCCTACACACCCTCACCCTTTCCGCCCATTCGGCTTGGCTGATTGAGGTTTACCATCTTTGTTCATCCTGGGAACTCATCCATCCCACCTTGACACCGATCGTATTTCCATTCCCAGGCTTCCAGATGTCGCTTTTATTCGGTCTCTTTTACCCGGGCGCTGGCGATTTGGGCTGCTGGAAGCCTGACACACTCTCTCAAGGCTCGGCCTGGGCGCATTAAATGTGAACCGTCATCGGTTACATACCATGTTTGTCTTGCGTATGATGAGCGCTATCTATCGGTACTTTGATTAACCCTTCAAACGAAACGAAGTCAAGTACCGAGTTATCATGACAAGACAGGTAAGTAACCTGTATGACGTGCGCTGATGCCTCTTAGTCCCCGACCTTGACTTTCTCAGCTTGGGAACCTGTGGCACGCTGATCATTCTCCCATTCTTAGAGTAAATCTCCTACTTACTACTCGGAATATCCCCTTCAGCCAAGCTCTTATCACGCGGTACCTGTGGATCGAACATATTCTAGTCTCCCGAGTAATTACGCTAAATTGTGGCGGGCTCGTCCAGTTCAGGATCGTGGACAGGGTCACCTTAATGAACTCGCTTCATCGCGAGTCCTTGCACATAAGCGTCGGGTCGATATCGGCGCAACAAATTAGAGATTCCCTCGCTTTCCTTCGCGACAAATGCAATGATTCTTTCCTTACGCGTTCATGCCATTGCATGAGAAAAGCCTCGGATTCTTCCCTTCCTTTCTTCCACTTATTTGTCATTTCGTCTTTGCAACGAATCATGATCGGGTAAGGACTCTGGCTAGGCTAGGCGGACGCTCACGGGTTGAAGCGGTGTTAGGTATCTGAGGTATTTAGTAGCCACACGTAACTCCGTAGGCCGATACCGACGTACGCCTCTTCCTGGTGGGATAGGAGCGCCAAGTCGCAAACACGCACCTTCATTAATGAGTCATTCGCTCGATAAACCATTGAGTCGTTGGGACTCGTGACGAGCTTCCCGACATGAAAGCGGCTGATATATGACCT